GCAGCATTAGTCCTAAGAGCCAGGATAAGGAAATCAACTCAAGTGTCCATCAAAGGATGAGTGCATAGTAAAAATGTGATACATATACATATACATCTATATATTATACATATACAATATATGTATTAGATAATTTTTCCACCATAAAAAATGATACTCTATCATTTGCAACAATATGGGTGAATCTGAAGGAGATTATGTGAAGTCAAATAAGCCAGGCACAAAATGACAAATCATATGATCTGAGCTGCATGTGGAATCTAAAATAGTTGATCTCATAGAGAGTAGAATAGTGGTTACCAGGGACTGAGGGGGGTTGTTTTAAAACGTTTGAGTTAACTCACATGTACAGTTATATATTCATTTCACTTATTAAAAGTTTAAATGTTTTAACTCATTAATGAGTTTAAAGTGTTTACAACAATGGCTGAACTCAAAAATAATTTAAGTAACTACTACTATTTTTATTCATATTGTTAGTTATTATTATTTAATGAGGCTAAAATCCTAAATCAAACATCAGTAAGTTTAATTGAAAGTTTATTCAAAGATTCTCAAGAATAGTTCAACATTATGGATTCTATTAATATAATTAATTAGGTTAATAAATAACAGTGAAAACAAAATTATCTCAAAAGGCACACTGAAGGGATATTTAATAGGTATTCATGATATTTTAGCCTTTCAAGTAAATCAGAAATGAAGTTAAATTTCCTTTACATCATGACTAGATACATAGATCAGAATTTATTACTAGACATTATTATCAACACATAAAAAGAACATATTAAATCATAAAGGAAAAAGGATTGCCTTCTGTCTTCTGACTTTAATGAGAACCTTTAATCTATTTATTAATTATTTACCAGTGTTACAGTGATTCTAGTGGATATTATAAAATAAGAAGTAACTGGTATAAATATTAGAATTTTGGAGAAATATTTTCAATGTTTTCAAATTCAAAAATTTCATACCTAACAAATTAAGCAGGATCATAAAAAATTGAATGCTTGGGGGCAGGGTTGCAGCTCAGTGATAGAGCGCTTGCTTAGCATATGTGAAGCACTGGGTTCAATCCTCAGCACAACATTAAAAAACTAAACAAATAAAATAAAGGTATTGTGTCCACCTACAATTAAATATTTTTTTAAATTGAATGCTTGGTACATGGCATGCAATGAGCAAAAGTTAGCTTTCAAACAAAGTCCACATAGTTAAAAAAAAATCTGCTAAAACTCATTATTAGAACCAGAATGAAAATATTAAAAGAAAACTACAGACCAACATCCCTCTTAGGAACATAGATACAAGAATCTTCAACAATGTACTATTAAATCAAATCCACTAATATAAAAAAATGGATTACACAATATAGTCAAGTGTTATTTATCCCAGGAACGCAAACTTGGTATAACATTCAAAAACCAATTCATATATCACATCAATAGAATAAAAAATAAAAACTACAAGATCTTCTCAATAGATACAGAAATGGAATGTGGAAAAAATTCAACACCCTTCATAATAAAAATACTAAATAATAAAAACATCCTCCATCTGATTTTTTTTTTAATCTACAAAAAGAAAATAATTCCTTCAACCTGGTTAAGAGCATCTTTGGAAACCCACAGATAGCACAGTTCATGGTCAAAACTGATAGCTTTTCCCCAAATATCAGGAGCAATACAACAATGTCTCCTCTCACAACTTCTATTCAACATTGTACCATAAGTTCCAGGCAGGGCACTTAGGCAAGAAAATGAAATAAAGGACATCCAGGTAGAACAGGAAGAAATAAAACAGTCTCTATTTGCAAACAACATGATCTTCTCTGTAAACATCCTGAGCAATACACTAAAAAAAGAGTCATTTTGGAAAGCACTCTAGCAGTTCTACAAATAAACAGAATTTACACTTGATCCAGCAATTCCACTCCTAGCTACATACCCAAGAGAATGAAAACATTATGTCCACACAAAAACTTGTACATGAATCTCACTATTCTGTACAATATGCATCAATTTAAAAAATTATAAACTTTTATGAGTGTTCATAGCACTATTATTCATAATAGCTAAAAAGTGGGAACAATTCAAATGTCCAACAACAGATGAATGGATAAATAAAATATGTTGTATCCAAGCAAGGAAAAATTATTCTGCAAAAGAAATGAACTACAGACACATACAAGATGAATGAACCTTGAAAACACTGTAAATGTAGCCCGTCACAAAAGGACCACTAAGAATATGAATTTATTTATATGAAATGAACAAAACAGACAAATCTATAGAGACAGTAACTAGATTAGTAGTTACCTAAGCTTCAAAGGCTTATGGGGAGACTGAGAGGGACAGCTGAGGGATATGGAATTTCTTTTTGGAATAACAAAAATTTCTAGAATTGGTTATAGTGATGAATGCACAACTTTGTGAATGTCCTAAAAACCACTGACTGATAAAAACAAAACTCAGCTAGGAATGCAATAATGCCCATGATATCATAATAGGGCAAATATATTTAATTCTGATCAAAAGTGATACAATCAGGATCACACAGGAGGGAATCACAAAAAGAAGGTCTCTGACCTTCCAGCCAACAATCTAACCACGAGTTACCTAGAGCCTCTGCTCCTGACTAAAGAAAATCCTTGGTCACCAGATTTTACACATGATCAAATGTGAATGCCAAACATTTGCAGGACAACTTGCTCCTGCAGACATTATTTCTTTGATAAATAAGAAAGATCCTGAGAACAATGAAATATTCTCATTCATTACAGATGGGAAACTTCTGGGAGGTTACTATAAATAGTTGAATTCCTAAATATATACCATTGTATATTCCCCTTCAATTTTATTGCATCCCAGGTCTTCTTAACTAGAATTTAATCTTCCTGAAGGTGGAAATCAGGTTTTCTCTGCTACCCATAGCCACTGCATTACAAACTCACAATCATTTATACTTTGCCTTGATTAGACTAAACAAATATGGAAGAGAGCACCATAAAATCCAGAGAAGATGATCTATTTCTATTTCTTCATATTTTATTTATTAGTCAATATCTGAAGTTTTCCTATTATAATGAAAAATTATCAGATGACTCTCCATTCAATGATCCTTGGGTTCTATTAGAAATCAGCTAGGGATATAAGAGAAGCTAATCTTAACTCTGTGTGGCAGTACTGATTTTTTTAAAAACCTTTTCTAAAGTAAGATTTTTGTAATTACAAAAGAGAAATCCAACAAATATGTCTGAAGACAAAAAGCAAGGAGAAATGTATATTTGTCAAGAAATAGCAGCAGCTCAATATGCATTGTCTTTTATCCGGCCTCATAGCAATTCTGCAAAATAAATTATTGCCTACATTTTTGACACAGAAATTGAAGTCCCAAAATACTAAATAGCTGATGTCACCCAACTAGAACTAGAACTCTAGCCAGTGTCACACTCTTTCTACTAAAAAACATTCATTCCACATGTTTCTCATCTATTTTGAGGAGCCCACCTCTGTGTATGAAGGTATGCATTCTGGTCTTGGACTGTATGGTCCTCCACTCACACCCAAGCCCACAGGCCAGTGGGGAAAGACAGCCTTTCCATGATTGTGAAGCTGAGACTTGGCTTAACACCAAACCTGGGCACTCAGAATACCTTTGAACTAACCTGTATCTCTCAGAGGCATGTACATACATCACGCTGATTTCACTCAAAATCAGCCAGTTCCTAATGCTAACACCCACTCCCCGGCCAAAAAAAAAAAAGGATCAGGGTGCCTCATAACCCCTTGAAGCTGAGAGCAAACTTAACCATTAAAAACAGAACTGTTGATCCTTACAAATGTTGAAAGAGTATAAGGAAACACCTTCGGTTCTAGTCAAACAGGTCCATTCATTGCGTCCCTCCTAAAAAAGTGCATTTCCTTACATTTCCTCACCTCTGTGACGACACACCAGCGCTATATACCCTTGTTCCCTTTCCTGCCAGAATTCTGCCTGTCCTTCAAGTCCTCTCTCTATGTGGTCTTCACCAACCAGTGAATTCAGTGAACTCAACACCTTGACATAATTTTGAAATTAGATGCCACTCTATTATTTCTTTATTATTAACTCCTTTTTATTCTTTAGCTTTAAGGTGGTCAAGCCATTGAATGGTTAGAAACTTAGAACCCTTTATGAAAAGGGTTGAACCTCATAATAGAGCAGTTTTCTTAAACGTCAAACCTATGGGGACCTTAATCCAAGTTTTTCCACTTGGCACTGAGGCTCTCCAATGATCTGGCTTCTACCTACCTCTGTAATACCACCCCTCACTGCCCACCCACAAATCTCATCTCTTCCCCCCACACACTTTTATATTCCAACCATGTACCCACACTTGCATTATCCTTCTTAAAATCTTGGAAACCTCTTTCTATAATGTTGTTCCCACCCCTTCATTCCCATTCCCCTATCAGAAAACACTTGGCTTTTTTCCTTATACAACCACAGGTCCTTTAGGAAGCCTTTCCTGGATACCCCAATCCTCAATAGGATTGAGCCCTCTCCCTTTCTTCCCTGAACTCTAACTGCTAGCATTCCATCACAGTGCTTTGTGATATTTATTTGTCCACATTCCCTACTTGCTTATGTGACCCTTAGAATAACACTTTTGAACTGTTCACCTCCCACACAAGAAATTCTTATTGAAGGCTATTAAACAGAACTAATTAATTTGCTTGATGACTTAAGTATGGTGGATAGAATGCGGTTTTCCATGAATAAAGTCAACCTTTTAAAGGCAGGAGAGAAAGACACTCATTAGTGATCCTTGGAGAGCAAATAAGGAAAACACTTTGCCCAAAGTAAATTATTAATGCAAAGTAGATTCATTAATGTGTTCAGCAGAAATCATTCCTCAGCTAGCCGAATGTTTCCAAGGAGCTCCCACCCCTAAACTCCAAGGCATCTTGCATAGCCCATGAACTCTGAGTAGATTTTCAAAAGTGGAGATTTCTTACCTGTGTTCCAGTTCTCGAATGGACAGTATCACTCCTGAAGTTGACGGCTTCTGCTGTACAGTGGCCAAAAAGGTAAATTCACTCTTATTCCGGAACAACTGAATTAATTTCTCACTCACATGAGGGGCTGCATGGATCTCTCTCTCTGTATCTAAGAGTCAGGAAGGAAGAACGGGAGGAGAAAAAGGAGAAGACCAAGGAGGAGAAGGGTAGAGACGAAATAAAGAGGAGAGGGAAAAAGAGAAAGAAGAGAAAAAAAAAAGATCACAGTTAAAAATGCCATGTTCAAGTATCCAGATCACATTTTTCATTTTCTCCTCTTGTCAATAGTTTCCATTTTTAGGTGCCATTCACCACTCCATACGGCCACATTCGTTCAATGAAAAACCCAGAAATGCTATCTGTGTCACCATGCGCACTTGTCACTTTGACAAGTTCACAACTGGCCAGACAGTGATTTTCTGACATGGATTTTGACAGGACACTGAGCAATTCAGCCTGCTGCAAACAGATGAAGTTGCTGTAAATAAGGTGAGAGGCAGACAAATAAACGGAGTCCTAAATTCAGAGAATCTTGGATCCAGCAGAACCCAAATGCCACTCAGCATGCCTCCAATCTCATTTTTCCCATAGGCTTGTTTTCCTTCTCCTCATAATGCATTTGAGAAACCTGCCCTTGCCTTGTGCCTAGCACAGATTTACTAGCACTAATAATGGCAAATGACTCTGCCTTTGCTTAAAGAATAAACACGAAACATGCTCATAAGTGTGCCTGAATTTCTCTGCAAATATGCAATGGATTGCTTTCCTCATGAAATATTTATTAAAGTTGAATCCAATTCAGCAGGACTGGATGTGTGAGAGTCCAGCTAATCCTGCTCCTAGACAGGAATCCCTCCTTCTCCAACATCAGCATAATGACAGGCATCCATCACTCCATACTCAGACTCACCCTGGCCGTGACAAACTGGGTGTTATCTCATTATTTCACCATACGTACATTTCCTAGCATCAGAAAGGGGCACCAAGGGAGCAAAGTTAGAGGAGACTACTCAAAGGATGATAAAGGGATATCAGAGGTGTATTCAGTGGTCTCCTCTCACAACCTGAACACCTCCTCTCAATGTACGACAACTACTTAGTTATTTCTCCAGGGCCACATGAGGAGTCTTTGAAAAACAGAGAACGGCAAAGACTACACCACATGGCAAACTTTTACAACAACGCTGAAGAATCTCAGCCTAAAGAATGGCCTCTCAAAAAAAAGAAAAAATAATCTTATAATTCTTGGTCTTGAGGCCCAGTTGTCTCATCTGCAAATAGAGGGGGTACCTAGGGGATCTCTCAGAGCTTCCTATCTCAACCTGTAGTTCTATGAATTACTGCTCAGCATACATGACACAGAAAGAACACCACAGCCTTTTCTACCTGCAAATGCCTAGGCTGAAGATTGTTTTAAAAAAAAAAAAAGTGGGGCGGGGGGGGGGGGGGGGGGTCCTGTACCACAGAGGCACCTGAGCCAGACAGACCTCTCCATCGCACAAGTCCACCAGCATGACATTTGTTTTTCTGCCTGAAGAAAAGCCTTCGATATTCTACTGTAAAGGGCACATTGCTGGCTTTTGTCAAGGGTTGAGATAAGAGCTAGCCACTTAAGGAGTGCTTCTGTGCCTTCTACAAAATCCCAGGTGAAAACTTTCCAGTTGGCATTTACAACTAATTAAGTATATAAACAAATCATATTGCAAACTAGAGAATATTAGCAACTTTTATTAACATTATTTTTATTATCATTACTTCTGGGCAAAATGCTCCCGATAAATTCCACCTAGAATTTAATGCTAGAAAAATAAATTGGACTTTTGAGATTATGTTGACTTTTTCCTTTTGTACTCATCAGTGAGGAATGAGCCCAATGAAGAGAAGGCCATGATTAATCAATAATGCCTGCTGGAGGAAAGGGGTATGGATATCATATTGAGTACAGGTGTCCTCACTTCTCATTCAATTCTCCTTGGGCAATATGTATCCCCATGACCAAGGGCCTTCAAATTTCTGCAACCCTAAACTTTCCCTTAAGCAAAAGACCCATGTATTTGACTTCCAACTTAATATTGCCATGAGAATATCTAGTCAGAAGTTCAAATTTTATGTGACTACCTAATAAGCATTTCAAATTGTATGTGTGTACATCAGAACTCCTTTTCTCTTCCCCAATCCTCTATCTTTAGATCCTAAAGTTCCCAGTCTTAGTAGGTGGTAATGCTCAGTTCCACAAGTCAAAATAATTAGAATTTGTCCTTGATTCTTTCCATTTCTTCTCCCTCTATGTCCAACCCAAGAGTGAATCAAGAGGGCTCCCATGTCTGGAATCTGTCCACTTCTTCCTAATTTCATTCTTATAGCTCTTGCCCAAGCCCCTGTCCTTGCACTCTAGAACAGTCCAATGGTGTCCTAATTAGTCTCCCTGCTTTCATGCAGCCTTCTTTCCCCCATTTTTCCACCCAGTAGCCAAAGTGCTCCCTTTAAAGCAAAAGTCTGAATCATTTCACCTTCCTGTTTAAAATTCTCCAATGGCTTCCCACTGCTTATAGGATAAAATCCAGCCCGGTTAGCATGATCTGCAAAGGCACACACATACTGATTCTTGCCTGCCCCTCCCTCTCCATCTCACACTCTCCTCCTTGTTTGCTGGGAGCACACCCCACCCACTCCTGTCTCAGATCTTTGGACCCTGCCCTCTCCCCAGAGTCATCTTCTGCCACCTCTCCACATGCCTGGCTCCTTCTCCTTTAGCACAAGCTACAAATGCAACCTCCCTGTCACTCTTTCTAAAGCAAGCTGTCCACCAATGTCCCTCTAACACACCACTCTGGTTATTTTCTCCATATAACTTGTCATAATGTATGGATTATGATCAGTTTGTTATTTCCTTACATTATTTATCACAATCTTGCCCCAGGCTTCTTTCTCATTTATTTTTCTCATTTATATTATTACTTTAAATAATCACATATGTTATAATATGTGATTATTTAAAGTAATAATATAAATGTAATAATATAAAATAAATAATATAAAGTAATAATATAAATAAGAAAATAGTAGGCATGGTATCTTTTTGAAAACTAGGAATATATGAGTCCTTCTCAAATGTCAGTGGCTATCAAATTAAAGAAGATGATATTTGATGCCAATTTGCTCCCCTCTACTCATCCCCCAACAGTCTGAACCAGTCCTACCACACTTCCGCTCACCCATCCTCCTTGAAAGCTGAACATTTCTTATGCTGACTTTTCTCATTTCTTTTTATAAATGATTGGCACATTGAAGTAAAGAGAGCCCATTAGCACTCAACAGAGTGAAATGTAAGAAATATCTATTTTGATACATGGAGACTTTATGAGCGTTCTCATTTTCAGAAAAGCCCTTTCAAATAAATGTTTATCATAATTCAGCCGATAAAAGAACACAAGAAAGCAACGCCATGTCTTCTTAGAATATAGAGGCAAGAACAATGAATCAGGTTTCCAGGGACTGAGACTACTCAGAGATTTTTAAGTAACTAGCCGTGTACCTCAGATAAAGACACTCTACCCCTCTGAACACTACACTCAACATCTAAAAATCAAGATTAAACTCTGTGATCTCCAAGTTCTTTCCTAGCCTCAATATTTCATTTCTGTTAATCACTTTACCCTGCTCCTAGCCATGTATCAAAAGAAGGTACTAAGGGTATTTTCCATCCATAAAACACAGATTTTGCAGATTTTTCTCCTTTGGTGATTTTCCACATTGGCATAAAATATTAACTTTTCAATTGCTGAAAATAGTGACATGTCACCTACTTTACAGAAGCCTGATTTTTTTTTTCCTGGAGTTAAAAGAGCAACCAATGAAAACCAAGTAATGGGAGAGGAGGGGAGGAGTAGGGAGGATAGGAAGGGCAGCAGAATAGAATAGACAATATGATTGATGTATGTACATTCCATGTATGTATTATATATCAAAATGCATTCGACTATCATGTATGACTAAAAAAATAAATAATTAATTAATTAAAACACACACAAAATCATGATGAAAACTAATATTTCCTTTTATTGATTTTTTAAAAAAAAATAAATGACAGCAGAATGCATTATAATTCTTATTACACATATACAGTACAATTTTTCATATCTCTGTATATAAAGTATGTTGACACGAAAAAAAAAGAACCATAAAATGAAATTTCTAAAAAAAATGTGTATATATATATATTTTTTTTTGATACAGAGTATTTTATTTACAAAAATCAATATTAATAAAAGTGAAATGAATGTGTATATATTAAACATATAAACAAATCCCTATCTGAAATTATGCTAAAAAAATCTGTAATTTTATAATAAATTACTTTCTAAGTGGAAAAAAAAAAAGAAAACCAAGTAATGGGACCCTATAGTGAATATTGTACTTCCATATTCAGCCACTATAGTGTGGGTTTGCTGTGTTACTTGAGAATAGTCAGTTCTGCTAGAGAGAACAAGAAAAACAAGTAGGATGGATGAGGCTCATAAGAAGTGTTAAATATAGATATCAAGTTAGAAACCTGTGAAACATGTTACACAGATTGAATAAATGGAACATTAGCAAGCTGAACATAGATAAAAAGAATCAAATAAGAGTATTGTTTGCAGATAGAATGGGGCAGGAGGGCCAAATCATAATATATACATCATGCCACCTTCAGAATGACAGCTATGTCATCACTAAATCCAACACCCATTATTGACATTCATTCCATTCCCATTGGGTCCCCACAAGTGCACTCCCTGAGAAATGCCAATAAAACTCATTACCACTCACCAAATGGACTGGTAGACCACAATTGTGGTCAGAATTATTTGCCCCAAGCATGTCAGCTCCAGTCTGAATTTCCCTCCCTAACTTTTCTACGTGAACTCGAGTCCTTGTAACCTCACCATCAGGAAAGCTATTACAACCCAGACAGAAGAAAAGAGAAGGGGTATGGTAAAGAATGAATATAGGGACAATGCTTAACTCAAGACTCGGGTGGAGTGTCCTTCTCCCCTTCTTGCACTGTAGCCTAACTCTCCCAGCCTACTCCATCTCTTTTCCTTGTTTCCTCCTGGAATTGCAAATTGA